CGCGCCGACCCCGGCTGCCTGCTGGTGCTTGGGGCTCGAGATAACTCTTAGGGAAAGAACGAGCGTTCGCTGATCATTCCAGTTGTGTGGTTTACCTCGCCCTTCTCCCAACACTTGTGCGGGCAAAGCAAAGGGGAACAGCAGCAGGGGCAAAGCAGTGGGAGCTTGCAGTGTTTATTGTGCTGGAGGCAGAGGCACTTGCTGCAGGAACAAGCTGCGGCCTCGGTCTAACCCTGTTGCGTATGTCACTGTAGCAAAGTTTGTTCAGCAGCAGAGCCTGTAACCCGAATGTATGGTGAGAGCCGGTTAGGGGGAGTGGGTGGGTGGAATATGCAAAGCAACAAGAGAATTTGAGTCATTGCCATACGTGGTGGCTGCAGTACACCAGCTGTTTGAGCTCTAGTAGGAAATGTGACAAAAATGTACAAGAGGAATTTCAAGGGGAGGAAAGAACAACAGTTTGGCTTTCCAGTGATAATAGGTTGATCCACAGTGTCATTTATAGCACTTTGGCTCTGTGCAAAGAGATACTGTGGGCAGGGTACATACAGTGTAAAAAAGTTAAACAGTTATTGGCTAGCATGCACAAAAGGAACAGTGAGGCCTTAATGGGCTGCTGGGCTAAGCATTCATCTGCTCCCTCCCCCAGCTAACACACCAGGCAGCCATGCAGACATCCCTTAGGAGGGGAAGGGTCAGCCTCTGCTGCTCAGAGTTGCTGAGTTGCTATATTCTGGCTCCCTATTTTTTTTTTTGAACTTACACCTTTTCATGTTTGCATTTTAACTCCTGAGTACTTGTGCTGCTGATGGTCTGTATCTCAAAAATGCTACGTTCTTTGCAGCTCCACCTTTCTTATCTTGGCATGACTTTACTGTGCAGCTTCTTAGAACATAGCAGCTACCTCAGAAGTCAGAGCTGAGGTCATGCAGCTGCACTGTGTTCAGCATGGGCCTTGGATCCACACCACCAGCTGAAGCCATGGGAAAAGGGCAGGGAGGGTTACAGGAAGAGTGTTTTTCTTCAGAAGGAAGGCATTTGAAAAAGTCTGCAGGTGACATGAGCTTTTAGGTGGGAGTGTAAAGGCAGTGCAGAGTATTTAATGATAAACTATGTGGGATGGATTCTAAAGTGCTTGAAAAGTGAAAACCCAAAGTAATTTTCTGACCTGAGAGAGCTGGTCATGGTAGCCAGGAATACAGAGAAAAAGTGTGGTGAAATGAAAAAAATTACCTTGTATGAAAATGGTGTGAACAGATGCTGGTGGAAACATGCAGTGCTTGTCTGGATGGACTTGACAGGAGAAAACATAGCTAGTTGGTGGTGTGAAGTTGATGGACTGGGTGTTATTTTAACTGGACATATAGAAATTAAATGCAGTTATGCATGAAGTGTTAAAATCGTAGCTCAAATGTGACTCATATCATTGCTTAAGCAGGTGCAATGGGAGAGGTAGCATGTGGCTGTATTCACATTAGGAAGCTAATTTTCTAATTTTTTGAGAGGTAAAAAATGGGTCAGAAATGGTATAACTAGATTGTACTATGTAGAAGCACATACACTGCTCTGAGTGGGATGGAAGGAATTTCTAGTAAAATATGTATATATATACACTGTGGCTGTGCTGGGGGTTGTTGCTTTGTACTGCAGAAAAAATAGGATCTCTATGGGTTTTTTGTCATCAGCACGCCTTCAGAATATGTTTCTCATTGTGTACTGCCTGAAGGCACCTGGAAATTCTGCAGCATGGCTCCAAAGCTGGTATGCTGTGTTACTGTTTCCCTTGTTGGTGGGTTGAGCACCTTGCAGTTGTAGAGGAAAGCGCAGTTTGAGCAGTTTTTATTCCAATGGCCAATATACAAGTGAAGTTATAAAACAAGGGATCAAATATAAAAGCAGTGTGGATGTACTTGCACAGTCTGTAACTGCCAATGCAAGAGTTTGTGGAGAATAAGCTGCACAAAGGCTGATGGCAGAAATTTGGCCATGATGGTTTCTAAACCTTTGAAAAAAGCCCTATGTGTTCTTGCTCTGTTTGTTTTCAATAGTGGGCTGCTGATGGGTGGTCCTGGGGGTTTTAACAGAGGAGTTGGAACTGGATCCATGCACTCCCTGTGCCTTGGGATTCATAAATTCTTGTGCTGGGTGCAGGTTGTCTGTTGCTTCCAGCGATGGGTGGGCTCTGGGACCTGTGTTGTAACTGCCTGTTGTTCAGGTCTGGTATTCACTCTGCATATTCATCACATGGATGAAGTGCAAGTTTTTCCTGGTACTTCACTGAGGTATGAGTGCTTAAATTGTAGCACATTGCTTTAGAAGCTGTGAGTTAACTTTTAGACAGGGATTTTTCCCCACCTCTTGCATGATGGAGGCAGTTTTTGAACAACTTTCCTTTAATTCTGAGTGATGTACCCTGCAGAGCACCTTGAAAGCAAAGCACAATCACAGAGTCCCAGGTGCATACACTCAGGGAGGGAGGAGGCAATTGCTGCCTTTGAAATGTTTGAACAGGTGAGTCCAATCTCAGTAGCTCTGGCAAGTCAAGGGACCTTGGGTTCTAAAAGCAGAAGTATCTAAGTTCTTATTCAGAGTCCGTATGAAATTGATTGCGGTTCAGGGCTTTGATATTAACAAACTAATCACATCATTTGCACAGCCTTTTCCAGGTAGTGAATAAATGGTTTGCCAAGTAAGTCTTATGTGAAAATACAATTTTGCATCATCTGTGTTCTTTTTGTCTAGCCAAGAAGTGTTGCAGTATATTTTATAAGGGGTCCACACTGGAAAAAATACACTTATTCATGTTTGGTTGTATGTGGGGGTTGTGTATGTGCATTTATAATCTTGGGAACTTTCAGGTTTGTTAGCCAAAGCAATTGAATGCAAAGTGCTGTGCTTGATGGGCTGCATGCAAGATTACACAAGTTACAAGTTTTGGATCCTGATGTCATTATGGTGTAGATGTGCATTAGTGTTACCCTCTTGACAGTATTTTTGCTGTTAAAAGGCAGTCTATGGAATACTAATAAGTCTGTGCAGGAACAGAGTGACAATGTGAAGCGCTGTGTAGCAGTTCTCAGCGTGCACAAGTCTGAGTAAATCTCAGACTCTAAATACCAGGTTCATTTTCCCTGTGGCTACTCTAACAAAAAGCTAACAGAGCTGTGTTCATCGGAATGTCATATGTTTGGTTGGAATCTCTGTTACGAGTCCTGGAGTGAAACAGAAAGGAGCTGCATGGTTGGATGTGCTCATCTCTTCCTGACTGGATCAGCTGATCCTGGGGTTGATGAGAGATAAAGCAAGAGTCTGCCTGAACTTGTGTCTTTTATCTTGCTGCCTTTGAGCTGCCAAGACTCATGCTCTGTCAAGTTTTCTTTTAGTTCCAGATGAAGCATCTTGGATTTTCTGCTGCACAGCAAAGTGTTTGTTTTTCTAAAAATCCCCATGCGTGTGCTTCTCGTGGCCCTGAGGGGCAGTTCTCCTGTGCAGTCAGTGAATACAGCAGGATTCACTTAGCAGCATGTGTTAATGGGAATGACCTATTGACAGAATAAATTATCCATTTGAACCTAAAATGTGGAAAATGCACTGATGTCTTTTAAATGTGGTGTTTAAAGGAAAATTGTTAATTATCATCAGCATTGTTGTTTTCATAAGCTGTCAGGGCATCACAATAATTTGACACCTCTGCAACTTATTTATAAATGTTTTGTGCATTTAATTGTTGTTTTCTGCAGCTGAGAAGGTCTCCATTAGCAAAATGCAGTTTTCTGTTTGTCTTTATGACATCTAGAAAATGTAATTGCATAAAGTGGAAAGAAAAAGCCATTTGTATGACCTGATCATCATAGGTCATGAAACAAACACAGCCTAATAAAGCGTTGGCATGAGAGGCATGGTTTATGTTTCTCTCCTTGCTCCTCCATATGCTCATTTGTAGAATAGCAAATTATAAACAAGAACATTATTTAATCCTTGCCTCTAGCAGTTGTCTTTGTGTGTGCTCTGTGCAGCTTTGATTGAGAGAATGTGAATCCTAAGACCTATTTTGACAGAGATTAGAATTTTCACATGATCATGTGATCCCTCTGGTGCTCACCCTTTGTATCTTGATGTATTTCGATTTTTCTGTCTTTCTGGAAATGTAGGAGAAGGGTTAAAATGCAGCTCTGAAAATCCAGGGACTAAGCAGAGCTTATTGATCCCCTCCCATTCACGTACACATTTGATGTGAGAACGCTGACCCAGAAGCACTGAGAGTTAGTTTATTAGTTTTGACATTGGGATTCGTTAGCTCTAATTCAATTAGAAGCACACTGATGGATGTGTTTGTATGCTGGGCCTGGCAGCTGTTTTAGGTTCAGAAACTTACAGTTCTAGTAGGAAAATTGTTTTGTGCAATCTAATCCAAGATTTGTATTCCTAGGCTAAAAGTGACATCGCTCTTGATTTGTTTCTTAATAGATTTCTCAGTGTTTCCAGTTATATTTCTAATTAGAATAATGTCTTATTTCCCTCGACAGTTTAAAAATAAAGTCTTTAAAAGAGAAGCTATCAAGATGATTGAATAATGTTTTATTTTTTAATTGTTAGTTGGAAACCTTCTTCTATCTTAGTTTGATACATAGACCTACTAGGCTATGGGAATAATTTTGGTTTTTACAGAAGGTTATGGTGCAATTGTTGCTAAGCTTTCTTCTGTCAGGGTGTCTTAGGGCTCTTTCCATTCTCACCCCAGCCCATAACCAGCCAGCTGGTTCCCTTTCTAGTGGGAAGACAACACCTCTCTCCTTATGTAAATGTTAGCTTTTCAGGTGTGAGATCTGCTGCTCTCTGTCCTTTCCCATCCTGGCAAATCTCCTTACCTTTGCACCTGGGGCAGGGTCTTTTACAGCAGAATTGTTTTTCCAGGCCTGAGAATGTTTTTCTGCCCCTTAGAACCAAGATTTGTGGCTAAAGGGATGGATGTTTGAATAACTGTCTCTGGAAGCCTGAGAGTCCTAGTTGAGAACAGAGTTGTAAGTCAGCTAAAAATTGTCTGCAGTGGAAAGAATGTAAGGGAGATATGGAACTGGTATTCAGTAGTTGGTAGAACTTGGTCTTTGAGGGAAAGACAGATTAATCCTGTGGCAGGGGGTCCAGCCAGTCTGGGATTGAGGCTACATCCAAAGCTGCTTCCATGGCTGCCAGCTCAGAGAGCTCTGGGGCCCTGACTGGAGCACTGAACTTACCTCTCTGGCCATGGTTTATCATGGCTGAGTGCAGCTACCACAGGAGCCTGCCCATGCTTTCCTGGAGCATGACTTCAGTCAAGCCTCTGTGTGTGGGATGCTGTTGCCGTGTGTGTAATTACCTTGGAAGTATGGGAGAAAGTCTGGGAGCTCAGGGCCATGAGGAGGGATGGCATTCCCTTTCTGCTGAGTACTTGTGACATGCTGCAGTGATGGAGGAGGTTAGAACGGTGCTAAAGCTGTGATGCTTGCCAGGAAAATCTGTGACTGCAGATAAATGAGTATTTGCAAGGTCAGAGTAGTGCTGCACTTGGTAGCATCACACATGAGGTTGAGAATATGTGGCAAGCTGTGTGTTGTGACTCAGCCCCTGGAGTGGGTTGTTTCTCTCAGAAGGCTCAGGACCACATTACTTTGTGTAATGTCTAATTCTGTAATAAGGATACTCCTTTTTTTAATGGTATAATCAATAAGACACCAATTAATGATAGTAAAACTTTGTGGTTTTAAGAAATCTTTTGCTGTCAAATGGATAATTAAATTAATTTGGTCAAAAAAAATCCCTGTAAAGCTTGTCCTCTGTCTTGCATCCTCCTCCCAAAACTGAACCCTGAACATGGGATGCTTTTGGGGTTGGGCTTCCTGTCTGGCTTAATTTGCAGAGCAGCTGGCCCAGATGAGGTGCAGGCTTTCCTTGTGTTGGATGCCACTTCAGAGTACAAAAAGCAGAATTTGAAGTGCTTTGGTAGGCAGCAAATTAAACAGAAAAGAGAAGACTTGCAAATAGTTTCAGGAGCTTCATATCACCAGGTGCCTTTGAGGCTTGACCAGCATAAAAAAAGACTGGGTACCTATTTGTTATCAAGTATCACAATTCCTCCAGTGAAATTAAAAAATACATACTTTTCTAAATGTAAACTGCATCGGTCTGGATAATGAATCAGTTTCTAATGGAGAAGAATTAAAATTTATCCATAAGGAGCTTATTCTGATTCTGCCTATGTGTGTGGACTTCTGCATGTCTTTGAAATGGGATGTAGAGCTAGATGGGTCCTTTGATCTGATTTCTTATCTGGTATAGTTATAAATGCTCCTACTTAGAGCTTGTGAGAGACTGTTAGTATTTCAGTGCAGTGAAAAAAATCTTTGATGGTTGAGGCAGGCCAGATATGCCTTGAAGAAAAGTTCAAGTTTTCTGAGCTTTTTTGTCTGTTCTTCCCTTCAGGGTGTACAGCATGGCCCAAACAGAGAAGAAAGGTGGGCTGCTCCGGAAATCTTCAGCCTCCAAGAAGCCTTTGAAAGAGAAAGTGGTGTTGATGTATGATGAAATTTTCACGGTAAGCAGCTGAGCATCTGTTTTTTCTAAAGGGTTGTGTTACATTTTCTTGGTTTAGTTTATCCTGAGGGTTTTTTCCCAGTGGATTTCTTTCCTTAAGGTAAGGCCTGCACAGTGTAGGCACATGCTCCAGGCTCTCCTGCTGTCATGCAGAACTCTGTATTCTGCTCTCTTCCAAAATGTCTCCGTGTCCTGTTGCTTACCAGAACCTACCATCTATGGGAAGTCATGGATTTCCCAGCATTTCTCAAATAACAACTCAGAAAATAAACAGGGGCATCCCAATTGAGAGCTGCTTCTCTTGGTCCTTCTTTTTTTCTGGGAATCTCTGTAACCAGAATTCTGCACTTTGAGACCTTTTGGTCATCTGGCAGATGGTGCTGATTCTGAGCTACCTGTGATAAAGACTTTCTTTAAGTTCTGCCTGAATGATTTCTTTGCCCTCATGCCTGTTCCTTTTCCTTACAGACAGAAGACCCCAGTAAATGCAACCCTAGGTTTTGGGAGGAGCTATTTCTCATGAAGGTAACAGACCGTGAACATCCTGTTGCTGTTCTGCCTACAAAGTGGCAGACAGTCAGTGCAAGGACTTCTGTTTCTGAGGTGTTGGTGATGGTATAATGTGCCTGAACTGCTTCTTAACCTGACAGGTCAACCTGGAGTATCTAGAAGGCAAGCTGGAGGCTCTGGATGGGGAAGAATTAATGAAGATAAAAGACAACATCAACTGCTTGTTTCAGCACTGCATCCAGGCCCTGGGCGAGGAGCACCCAATCAGAGTGGTGAATGCATTACAGGTACCACGCTGGGGGACAGGGAACGCTGTCTTTGTACTTCAGATGCTGGTATCAAACACCTTGTGCTTGTTTCTTTGTTACTGAGAAGTGATGTCTACAGGGCAGTTGCTACTTGTTGTCTGTGGAGGTTCCAAACATTCATAGTCTCTACTCTTGGCACAGCAATAGATGGTTTCAGAATTCATGAGGATCTGGTGATGGAGGATGAAGTGGATGGCAGTGAAGAATCAAAGGAGCTTGTTCACATTGCAGGCTATTGGTTTGGGGTCTCAAAAGTACTTAGGCTGTGTAGTAGTGTTTTACTTTCACCTCTTCTCCCTTATTTCAGCTGTCTTTTTCAATTTCCATTTGGGTCAAAAAAGAAATAAAGCTCTGGAGAAGTTAGTGTGAAATATACGCAGGAAATTGCCTCAGCTGGACACTTCCTAATTGGAAGCTGTGAAGAATTATCACTCAGAACTCATAGCCATTTTTGTGCAGGTTGTTCCTTACCAAAGCTCTGCTGCTCCATATCTTGTGGGAGACTCGCCTCCTCAGTTTTGATATTTGATGTTAATAGTTCACAAGCTGATTCTCACAGTTTGGTGAATGCATTTGTTTTAGGGGTATGCAGAATGCATTTCAGCTTTAGGAGTACAGGATAGGAAATTCAGGTCTGAAGAAGTCATCTGTAGAAGACTTTGGACCAGCAGTGATCTGGGAAAAATTGGTTTAAAACAGAACATTACATCTCTGTACAATCTTGCATTGTTTTATTGTCATTTTTAGAATTGGTTTGAAAGGGTGCTACTAAAATTGCAGTTATAGCTACATAGCCAGCTTAGACCAACCCCAAATTCTTAAACTTCTATCCATACTCTTGGAAGAACTTAGGGCAGGTCACAAGAATCCTGCTGTGTGCTTGTAAATAGGAACCAGGTAACACATCCTGAGCTCAAACTGGGAGAGTGTTCCCTTAATCAGACTATGTTAATGTGGAAAGTGATCCTGAAACCAAAACTTACTTAGGCAATCCTTTTTTTTTGAGAATCAACATGGTTACCAAAGGTTTGTTTAGCCCAGTATCTGTTTCTGACAGTAACCAAAAAAAGAATGTCTACCTTACCTTTTTGCTTTTGTGTGGTTGTAGAGGTCTGCTAACTCCATCAGGTCTGTTTTGTCTCCAGCTTTGCATGTGAAACTAATTACCTCTCACTGATGAATTTAAGCTGGAATCTAAACCTGCAGTGGTTGTATTCCTGCTCATTCTCCTCTTCACAGGCCTGAGATGTGCCTGATGACAAAAGTCACCCCAGACATTTCTGTCTCTTAGGACAAATGAGTAATTTGCTGCCTATAAATTTTCCAGAGAGTCTGCTGATAGTGTGCTGATACCTGTGAATCTTCAAGAACTTGGAATGAAGCAGTAATTAAGCTGCCTAATAGACTTGGAACCTTTTTTTTTTTTTTTTTTGTGGGAAGATTGGTTCCTCTTGTTGACAAAGACACAGTTTATTGGTCCAACTTGGTATAGCAATGTGGTAACCAAACAGAAATTTGTGCTCAAACAAAAAAAATATGGACAAATCAATTCTTTTCCAGTTTTTACGAATTTTCAGCATCCAAGATATGTTTTTAGAAATGCCAGAGCTGGAGAAGAGGTCAGACAAAATGTACGGCCTCCAGGCTGGTGGTATTAATTTCAGTATCTGCCAGTGCTAGGAGGGGATCATGCAGTGGGTTTTGCTGCTGAGTTGGAGGTGTTGCCCTACATGTCACCTTCTGTTTTTCCCCTTTGCAGACTTTGTGTGCATTGATCCGGGGTGTCCATCAGAAGAACAAATCCACTTCTGGGTTTGACATCATCAACATGCTTGTGGGTTTTGACAAGGCAGAGCTGTGTATGAAGGTGAGGCCCTGGCAGTGCAGAGAAGCAGTTTGCACAGCAGCTGTGTTGTTGCAAGGGCAGTGAGTGTACATGGGTGTGTCTGCCAGGCAGCAGCTTTTGGGGGAAATATTGGAGCCACTTACTGAAAGTAAGCTGTCCTGAAGCTCTGTACCTGCCAGTAGCACAGACATTTGGGGTCCCTGGATTGGTTAGTAATACAACAGAGCATGTTCTTTTTCTTTAGCTCCACACTGTGTAGTCACTGTTGTTGAGAAACCTTAAAGCCAGAAAAGGCTGTCACAATCACCTAGTATTGAACCTCACATCTTTATCTGAGTGTCATACCCTGTGTTCTCACAATCCATCAGCACATGTACTGTTTTAAACCTACTTGATGCTCTTCACTGTAAAGATGTTGAGTTTAGGAAATGACAAAGTAACCAGTGATAAAGCTGAATTCTTGTTGTATCTTTCATCTCTCTTCAAGAGTAGCAATTTTTCTTCTCTGTACAAACTGTAGTATATTTGAGGAAAACATTAAGTAGTAGTTTGCCTATCAGATTTTTAATCATAACTTATGTATTGTAAATTGGAGCTGTGCTGCTGCATGTAGAGAAAACTCATGGAAAAGGATAATGATGTTCTACCAGTAGTCATTAAGCTGTAGTTAACACAAATAGTGTTGAGAAGCAATAGTATGAATATGGCCTGGGTAGCAGTAGTAATAGCTCAGCTATTGATTCTGGAATAACATGGCTTTATATTGGTGCTCTGCTACTTGAATCTTCCAGAAGCCTTTATATAAAAAACATTTCAAGTAATTTAAAATACTACTTTTAAGTAATGTGACTGTTGTTCTTTAGAATCTGATGGAGAGCTTGGACTCCCTCCTCTGTGCAGAAGGTTCTGAAAGCCTCAAAAGCTTGTGTCTGAAGCTACTTCTCTGCTTGGTGACAGTAAGTAATTAACAGCTGTATAATAAGTTAAGGGCTTATATGGGCCGCATCTGAGGGATGGAGCTGTTTCAAAACTTGAGCAGAATGCTGCAGTGTGACGCTTAAGAAGGAGAAAGAAATGATGAATGAGAGCCAGTGTCAGTCCAGAATGTGCATGATGGCTCCAACCATGATGCCAGTACAGACTAGCAGACACTTTTCATCTTGTTAGATAGGTGCCAGCTGGGGCTGAAGGGGAGAGGCAGGAGGAAGTATCAGTTGGATTCACAGGTGTAGGTTTTTTAAAGGAAAAAATACTTAAGAAGTTTCAGATGTATGGAAAGGAAGGGAGAAGGGTGGAGGCAAGACAGAAGGTGTGGAAAACCAGAGTGGTGAGGACGTGAAGAATGAGGAAGCTGTAATAAATTGCCACTCATCAGCTTTTGGAGATGGTCAGCTGCGAACTATTTTGACTGTGATAAGAGATAATTGAGAGTGGTGGAGCTCTTCATTGCCCTCTTCATGATGGGAAGGTTCTCAATGAAGCATTCGTGCCCTGTTTTTCATTCTCTGCCTCCTGTGTGGAGCCTGCAGCAGCTGATGGCTGTTGTCATTCTTGCAGCTGTGTAAAATACCAACGTGTGGAGGAGTGGGGGAGCTCTTAGTCTGTGGGTGGTGCTTCTTGGCAGAGAGAGGGCTGGCAGGCAGGACAGATTTCTTTTACTTCATGTCTAGCTCTATTGCTAGTCACACCTTGACTTGCTAAGTGTGAGATTCTGGATAAATGTGTCCATCTGGAAGCAGAACTCTCCTGTTCCCAGTGTGTGCCAGAGGCAGCTACAGCACTGGTGGAAGTTGTGGATGAGCTTTTAAAACTTGTGTTTGTACTCAGGTGACAGATAACATTAGCCAGAACACCATCCTGGAGTATGTGATGATTAACAGCATATTTGAAGCCATTTTACAGGTAAGGGTTCTTCCTTCTACTGTGGAGGCTCTTCCATAGTGAGAACTTTCAGTAATGTGTTTGCCTTTCAGCATTTTCAGTGCAATGTAAGTTCACTGGTACTGTTGCTGCATCCATTCATAGCTCAGTCACACATATATTTTGTAATGTTCTCTCCCCTTTACTCTAGTCTGCTGTTTTTAGTCACTACTGACTATTTAAAGTATTTTCACTTGAGACATTTCTGCACAGTTAGATTCTGAACAGATTTCTGGGTTAATTTCACACAGAATTTCTTTACTGGAGAAACTGTTTTTTCAAAAGGTAGTGTGGATATATTTTTTTCTGCTCTTGGATAAATTATACTTTTTTCAGTGGAACTGAGCCTTGGAGAAACCCAGAACACTTGCACAGTTTATGATGAGATACTATACAATGCTGTTGTGAAATATATTTGCTCTTTATGCCCTGAAAGCCTGTGTGCATCCTGTCTGTGATAAATGAGCTTCTCTGTGTGCAGAACTTCCTTGAGGCACTGACACTCCCTTCACCCAAATATCCTCTTTCAGATAGGACATAATTTGCTCTTGCACACACATTTCATGGCTGTGCTCTGAGTCACTGCAAGCTTCCTGCAGGAGGCCTGACAGAACAGTGTGGTTGTTTGTTCCAGATCCTGTCCAGCCCTCTCAGTCGCAGGGAGCATGGGTATGATGCTGTTGTCCTTCTGGCCTTGCTGGTCAACTACAGAAAGTATGAGGTAGGTGTAGAAACATCACTTCTCTCTGCTTTACTGATTTAGAGTGGCCTCTGGATTATGAAGGCAGCACACAGTGCAGTTTTTAGCAGAGCACACTGTAGCACCAGGGCATCAGAGTGGAGCAGGAGAAGCTTTGCAAGGCAGCCCTGTTAAGTCCCTGTGTCTGTCTCTGATGTATGTGTACAATCAAATGTGTGTGATACTCCTACAGCTCCTCTGTGCCAGCATGAAAGAAACTACCTAGGGAATTTGCATTTCCTTTGTGGAAATAGTGTGAGGAAGGTCCTTTTGGAAGAGTTGCTGTTGTGCCAAACCACATGTCTGCCTCTGTGTACGTGTGTGTGTGTGGTTATACATAATCTCCAAAGTAAAATGAGCTGTCAGTCATCCTGGGCTTCAGACTGAATTTGTGATTCAGGACCTGACTAGCTGACTGAAAGAGCACAGATCCTCAGAAGAGATGGTGAAGCTGTGACCAAAGAATGAACTGAAACATCACAGGTAGCAGTTCCAAGAGAAGTCTCTCTCTCTCTCTCTCTTTGGTGGATTCCTCTTTGAGGAACTTTATTCATCATCCTTTTTATGTTTATGGTATATTCCCATTTTTTTCTGTTATTCATCAGCTTGAAAAAAAAACCATCTCAGATGTCAGAACAACACCTAATTTTGGGTTTTCTTTGTATGAGGTATGATGCTTTCATGATCAGGGTTTTTTTTCTTCATAAATAGGAATATTTTAATATACTTCATTAGGAAGCAAATAGGAAAGTTCTGGAATAACTTGCCCTTCAACAAAATTACTAGGAGGGAGCAGGCTTCAAAACCTACCTGGTTTTATAATAGATCTTGTTCTGAATTATGAATAGACCTAGAGAATATGCAAGGACAGGAACTACACTTGGTGTCAAAGTAATGCCTGTCAGTTTCTCATTCCTGTCAATGATGTCAGAATCATGAATTGCAGATTCTCTTCAGCATTCTGTGCTGTGGTAGCATGGAACAGGAGCATGGAGCCTGATTTCAGTGTATGGCTATGAGGGAAATCTGTTGGGAATTATCTGTAAGTGGGGTTACTTATGAGGGTGGACTGGCAAGACCAGAGGTGTCATTGCAGCATTCAGACAAATGGTGGGGAGCTGTGCAGTGCCATCCCTGGGGCAGGGATCCCTGGGACTGCAGTTGATGTCCTTAGTCAGGTAGAATGCTGTGAGTGCAGGAGGCTTGTCCTTGGATTTCTGGGGAGTATTGAGCTGGGGTCAAGTGCTTTGGAGCACACTCTGAGACATCTTGGAACTGTGCATTCTGAAGGAAGTTGTGCTGATGTTTGAAAAGTGCAATCCATACAATCCAGCTGAAGCAGATGTGTAGCACATGTGAAGGGGAACTTCAGCTCAAGCAGCTCCTCTGGCAAGGCTGAAAGTGACTCCCAGGAGGGTTTTATGTGACAGCTGCCCAGCACTGCCCTTGGTAGCAGTGCTACAGGCCAAGCCTCCAGTAATGCAGCCATCATCTTTGTCCTTGAGTAGCTGCTTTCCCTTGCTGTTCTTTGGCCCTTAGGGTCAGTATGGTGGTTGTCTGGTTGTCAGTGAATTGTAGCACACCTTCATGCCTCAGGTGCTTTGGAGTTCTCTTTTGAGTTAACTGTGGTGCACCTGAGAGCTTCTCTTTTGGTCTGAACTCCATTGGTTAAATTGTGTTTCCAGTTGTTTAAGAAAATCTAATAAGGCTCAAAATTCATTAGCTGATTATGATTTTGTGTCTGTTTTTAGCATAAATATCAGTGTGTTTTACATTAGGATGTTCTTTTGTAGTTTTGGGATGTGAATTTTGTAATCTCTCAAATTCCTTGGAGAGTATCTCTCCATGTTGTCATTACCCATGTTGATGAGATCTTGGCTTGCTTATTGACTTTGGTTCTAGGGATTTACATCTCTTTACCTGGAACCTTTAAAGGGATGCATCTGATTGAAATCCTAATAGTTTTCAGAAGTTGTTCCAACTATATACTTATACAAGCCATCAGCTATATTTTCTTTTTTTCTTTTTGTTAATACTTTCAGAGAAAATACTTTTGCATTGATACTGTAAGAAAGAAAATGCTGTGAGAAAAAGTATTTATTTGATCACTTTCCCAGTGTTTTAAGGGATGGCTGATAGGATAGCAAGTTAAAACATAAAATCAAGTGGTGACTTTTGAATACATATTCATTGATAACATCTAGGCAGATGTTTGTTTGCATCATGTTCAACCTGCTAGAATTGCATTGTAGCTTTTGTTAGAGCTGAAAGAAAATAGTTAAAATGTGGGGTTTTCCCTTTGTGTGCTTGTCTGGCAGCATATAGTGTATCCAACAACTCTTCATGTCGTTTTGTGCACTTGCCTCTCCTTGGTATAGACAGCTACAGGTCTGAAAGACACAGCTTTGGAAAATCAGAAAGTTCATGTGTTTTTCTTTTTTTCCCAAAGATCTTGCATAACTCAAACGATTTTTTAAAAAAAATTCTTCAACAAAAAAGTAATTATTCAAGCTCCAATTCCCTGCAAAATGACCTGCCTGCAGATGAGACTTTTCTTTTGTGTCTTGATTCAAAATCAACTTTTTTTAGTTTTACACTGACACACAAAACCCATGAAAAATGTGCATTGCTAATCTGAAATGCTTCCCAAATTATTAGCATTTGTCTTTATAGATGAAACCTGTGTGTTTTCTTCAGCTAAATTCAAGGCATTTATATTCTTTAGAGACTTCCAGCTCCTTGGGGTTGCAAACAAAGTGTTGCTCTCTAACCCAGCAGCAGATGAGTCCAGAATGTTGTCCTGCCTTCCTGGGTGCTCTTTAAGCAATCTTTGCAGGGTGCTGCAGAGGGGAGACAGCAGAGCACTAGTGCTGCATCCAGCCTCACTGCCTGTTCCTGCTGCAAAGCTGTGTGTGTGTCACAGATAACAGGCTTGCAGGATGGCTGCTCCACTTTCCAGACTGACAGAGGAGCTGGTGCAGGGACAGAAGCTCCCTCCTCTTCCCAATAAAATCAGGAGACTGCCTGGCTGAGCCAATAAGGGGAACATGTCCCTGGCCTAGTGGTCTTAGCATGTGCTGTGACTCTGCTTATTTATGTGTATTCTGTTTTATGGGACAGGACAGAGATTCTTCCCAGGTGGTTGTGTAAACTTGGAAACATAATAGTGTTTTTTTTTTCCCTGAAAGCTGTACTTAAAACCATTTTTCTTTCTTTTTCGCCCCACCTTGAGCAGTCAGTGAATCCCTACATTGTGAAGCTGTCCATTGTGGATGATGAGGCCACACTCAATGTGAGTACTTGGCTTGATTCCTCTGTGCTGCTGGAGATGCTCTTTCCCATGAGGTGTGGGGTAATGGATGCCAGCATGGTGTATGGCAGAAATCAGGTCTCAGAACAGTGCTGCTCTAAGGAGCACCAGTGCCGAGGTTGTTCAGCCCTGTGCTCTTGCAATAGGTTAGGCAGCTCATGGTTTGGACAGCTTGATCACCAGTTCAATGGTGATTAAAAGCTAGATAGCAAGGAACATGCTAAAGTTGATCTATTATGCATTCATGAACTATCTGTGCACTGTTTGCTGTCATGTGCCAAAGAGGCACAGGATGATTTATGCCAAAGGGAATCTCATTTCCAGTGCTGTGTCACTTGATTTTATCATTCTACAAGTGAATTCTTGTAACTCAGTGGAAGCTTGTAACTGAGTCAAGAGTCCTGCAGTATATTTTGGGTTGCAGCTACAGTCTGAGTTTTATATCCAGGCCAGGATTAAAATTGACAGCAGACTGAGTTATGTGAGTTCTGGACTTGGAAGCTGCTCTTTAGGCATGAAGTAGAAAGCAAACTCCATGCTAAATAAAGGGTGAGAACTGTTAGTAGTTCTGTAATAGTGGAGGCTGTTTGCAAGAAGTCAAAGGTTATTCATGTCTATGATTCTTTGTTTTGAATTTTTGGATGTCCTTCCTCTGATACCAACTTCTTTCTAAATTTCTTGATGCTTTACTGAGACTTCTTGAGTGAGAGCTCTGTCTGGAGGTCCAAGAAGAAGAGATGCTTTCTGTCCAACTTAGTAAATAACTTTCAATTTGGTTGTCTGGGTTTTTGTGTTATAATGTTGTTGTATCATAGCACATCTTAATAGTTCAAACAGCTTCAAGGGAAATTCTGAATAGCATGCTAGGTTATCTTGGGGAGGGCAGCATTGCAATGTATGTTCAGTGTGTGATTTTCTCCCTTGAGATTTTAATGTGTAGTTTTTTTAAATTCTTTTTTTTCAGGGAATGGGACTTGTAATTGCCCAGGCTTTATCAGAATATAACAGGTAAAACCAAATTGTGTCATGTTTTCCAATGCATGATAGTTACTGTACATTTTCACAAACTTTATTTTCTTTTTGTCTTAAAGCACTTGCTTATCACCTGACAGCCTTGATGCACCTGGAGAGGCAGGGAATAATTTTATTTTTTGAGGTACTTTGCTTCAGTTGATGCAGTCGTTGCAATTCTCAGTGCATCTGTACCAGCTGGGCTGATGTGCTTCAGGAGAGATCTTGCTGTAGGGGAAGATATCCATTGTCTGTTTTTACTGTCACGGGTTTTATCTCTGTATGAACTTTGTGTAAAATCCTAATCACAAGTGAAAAGATAATAATTTGCTGACAACTTCTCTGTTGAAAAATTGATTTAGCCGAAACACTACAACAAACAAACAAATGATGATGTATCCAGGGCTGTCCACATGCCAGATCAGAGATGATTAGGAGATGTAAACTCTTCCAAATGGTGGAAAGCAGTAACTCCTGCTGAAGAAAGAGCCAGAAAGTCAGCAGAAAGGGTGGCATATTCTTACCCTCTACTTCATAAGTAGCAGCATAAAACATGCAAGCTTTTCTAAGAGGAAAGTGCTTTAGAAAAATTTGGAAACTTACATCAATTTCACCTAGGAAACTCAAGAATTTTTTTGTGCAGTAGGATTCTCAAAATATCCAGAAAAATGTTTTAATTCCTTTGAAAGCCTGCTGTGATAGTTATGCAGCTGACTTGCAAAATCAGCAAATCATGTAGATGTATTTAACAGAGTAAATGATTAGAGTAAAGCAGAAAAAAACTTCACCCACCCAATTTCCTTCATTCTGACAACATCTGTCTTGGACCATGGCCTGTTTTCCTTAGCTCATTCCTTGCCTCTTTCCCAGGAATTTAGAGTTGGTTTCTTGGCATGTTACATGTGTGTGATCAGATTCCTGTGTGACAGACAAAATAAATGGCTGTGTGAGCTTTGCTAGTCCCTTTGAGTGCCAGATGAAGCAGTGTAGTGTAAATCTGGGGTACCCAACCTGTTTGTTGACTTCACTTGTTCTAGTTCCAGCCTCTGCACTTGCTCCAGGAAAATGGGATCAGGCCATGAACCATAAAGGTCCGTGTGGTTTCTGCTGGCCATTTCTGCACCCAGCAGGGTGACCAACTCTGATTTTTTCTGTAGTGGATGAAGTGAAACTGTTCTGTGGTTACTGACACTGTGTGCCCATGTGGCTTATTACTGTTTGTTCAGTGCAGGACAAAATTTCTGAAGTCACTTGATCCCTTTCTTTCAGAGTTAGCCCAAACTGCTTTTGTGCTCTGTAACAGCACAAGTATTGTTCAAGTTTCACATCTTTCTGCAGCCTCACTTCAACTCTACACAATTTACAAAAATTTTAATACACTTTGTCTCTTATTTTGTGAGTTCTTGAAAAAGGCTGTTGAATGTTGAACTTTCCTCCATCCTGTATTCTTGTCTGATAAAACTAACATGTGGAGATTTAGGGGAAGTTACCCTGGTTCAATTTCTAACCCTGAAATGTCATCCTTATTCCTTTTTGTTCAGGCAATACAAAGATAAAGAAGAGGAGCATCAGACTGGTTTCTTCTCAGCCCTAACTAACATGGTAAACAAGGAAACGATGTTTTTCCATTCTTACAAAGGTGCATTCATGCAAATTCAGCAGGAGAGTGTTTCTAAAAAGTTTGAGTTTGGAATGTGAGTTATGGAGATAGAGATGGATTGAACAAATCAAAACTAAATACAGCTGAAGTGGTTGTATTCTGAGGAATGTGTTGTTTGGCTGGGAAAGCTCTTTCAAAGGACTCTCCGGTCTCTACTCTTGTGTTGATAGCTGAAATTTCTTTTCTTGCATGTTTTTCACTCTAGGTGACTTTATTTTAAAAATCACCTTATTTTAAACTTTTAATCATGTTTTTAACTTCTTAATCCTTTTAAACAGCTGTGCATTTTTAAAAACTACTTGCTACTCTGGTGATGTGGCCTAAAACATAGTGGCACATAGTCTGGAATGTCACTAGTCTTTGAGGTTCTGTTTCTTTACTGTTTTGTTTTCAAGCATGGATGCACTTTAGCCATGGAGTAGAGCTTGGATTCTGCAGTGGGCACTGTCTGCATTTTTGAAGGGGTACCCTTCAAAAAGAGTTGTGAATTTCTTCCTTGTAAAGAGTATCCTCTGTTCCCCTTGTTCAGTTTAGCTTTGCTTTAGTCAGAGATTTCATAATATTCTGAGATTTAACTGACAGAAAAATTTCCTGCAGCTGAGGGTAGTTCAGTGTAGACAGCTCTCTGTCAGGAGTGACTTGGGTAAAACTGCATCCACTGTGGGGCAAGCAGGGAGGAAATAATCTTTGTTGTCCTCTTAAAAATGGCAAACTAATCCAGACTGGGATTCAAGATCCAGTCTTATTTTTTTGTCCTTTTTGTGATTTGATAGGTGAGGCATTAGTCAGTAACAGTACAGCAAAATAAAAGGTATTTTCATCCATGTGTTGTCTAATAGCTTTCCCAAATTCCTGCTGTGCAATGCTCTCTCTTTCCATAGGTGGGCAGCATGTTCATAGCAGATGCTGATGAGAAGATCTCTGTCCAGTAAGTGCACAGATGTTATTTTATTTACACAGTGGAGTGGTTGCTGCTCTCCGTCCTCTCATGGAGCTATTTAATGTCACAAAGCAAACTAGAGGAGCAGGTTCTCCTGTCACTAAAATGGTACCACACCCTGCAAGCTGTGGATTTTCCCTTCTGTGAGAGGGGTGCAGCAGGAGGAGACACAGCTGAATTGCTTGTAATGAAGTCTATAAAAAAAACTCCAGTAGTTTTTATGAGGTATTTATGACATATAATAGGTGTCTCAGAGGTGGCACATGAGAAACAAAAGTTCGTGCACTCTGACCCTCACCAAAGTTTTCTAAATTAAGGGGGCAAGTGATAAATATGAGGGATTTTAATGTCTTTAGAACCCTGTACTCTTAAAGGAGAGGACTTCAAATGGAAAACACTGAGCAACTAGGGACATCTTCAGTGGGAAGGCAACAAAGATTGTAGTTGTGCTCTAAAAATAGCTACTTTTATGGGTTGCTACTACTAGTGCTATTATTAGTGCTACTAATAATTGGAAGAACACCTGGACTGCAGAGGCAGAGTTTTCCATAGTTGAAAAAGAATTCTTGTTTTTTCAGATAGGCCATGCTTCTGAAGAACTTGGCTCCTTGTATTCTGATCACTAACTGTGTCTTTGCATCCTTCTCACAGAACAAATGAAGCAATCCTTCTGGCCCTCTATGAAGCTGTTCACTTAAACAGGAATTTCATCACAGTTCTGGCACAAGTGAGTTTCAGTGGAATGTTTCCCCATTTCTTTGTAGTGAATGTCTTTGAAATCAGAGAGCCAGAAATGGAATTGGTGAAAAGAGTTTGTTTTGTTTTTTTTTTTCCCTTTTTATACTTGTCATAGGATCAGCATGAAAGAGCAGAAGCAGGCCAGGACCAGGGGAAGAATTTTTATTATATACTTTCTGCCTTGACAGTAAATGAGTAGTGTTTCGAGGTCACAGTTCATGTTGAAATGATTAATTTTTGCCACTAAATGGGAAGGGCTGCATGGAGTGCCTTCTGTGCCCTATTGATAGTCCACTTATTGGGAGGAAGGAGTGAGCAAAGCAGTTGCTGTAACCCTCAGAGCAAATCAGTTTTGTTAAGTTAGGGTTGAGAGAAAGGGGCTGATTCAGCTCCCAGATTGGATGAATTGTCCTGTATGTGTGTGCATGGACTGTGTGTTGTTGTCTGTTTGGATATTCTTCACTTAGGGACCAATTGACACGTGACAGTTGTTGTTTCAAATACTCTTTTGTGTTCAGACTTCCTTGAAGAGCCCAGCCCCTTTGGCATGGGAACCAGTTGTTGGAGCATAGCATTTGTCCTTGGGCTTTTTATGATAGAGAAGCAGCCTTCTGAGAGGCTGCTGTGATCACAGGTCTCTGGATGCTTTTCTAACGCTGTGAGAGGTTGGAGAGGTGGTTGCTGCTGGGAGGCAGATAATGAGCCTGTCTGATGCAGTGATTGTGCTGAAAGGGCAGCCTGATGGACCTTCAGGTTCAGGCTTTTAATTTTGGTGTGTAGGTACTGCTTGTAATCTGGGAGAAGAACATCAACAAAGCAGTGAACACCTTTCCCCAGTTTGCTCAGGTCCTCAGAGTGCAGCCATAGATCTCAGGCTTGACACTTGGCATGATAGAGGAGACATTTGGGGACTCCTGACAGTAGTGGTGATGGAAGAGGGCTGATAAGCAGATCTACAGCCTCTGAAGAAAGCTTCTGTTTCATGGGTGGTTAATTTGCTGAAGTTCCCTGCTTGTCTTTTCCCAGGTTATTCATTCCTACCACTTCTCAGAGATTTCTGCTCTTTCAGTTCTATGTAATACCAGCTCAGGCCTTTCTGTGGGCAAGATACTCCTGAGGGAAGAGAGGCATTTGGCAGGAGAAGAGCAAAGCAGAAAAAGATCAGCTAGAGATCAGCTCTTAAAAGTAAAAGGGTAGACTAGTTACTTGTGAAAGACATTGAAGCAGCCACTGATCAGTGGGTTGAATTGGAGAACTGATACTCTTGGGTGGATTGTCTGTAATTCTTCATTTAAGAGAGGGCAAGGTAGGTCATGTCATGTTGAAAAAAACTCATAAAAGCTGATGAATGCTCTTTCCTAAGCTGGTGTCCACTGCTTGGGACTGCATGAATGTCTTCCTGCTGCTGTGTGGCACATGGGAAGAGCAGGCATTCAGTTGTGTGGGTATCTGGAGCATTGAATTTGTGCTCACCAGCTGTGGGTGCTTGGGTTTGCTGCTGGGTGGCACTCTTGTCTCTCAACTGCCATTCATTGTTCTGGAGAAAGAAGGTAAGCCCCTAAAACCTGTCTAAGGAAATCTGGCTTATGTAAGACTTTCAGTGAAAAATTGTATTTTAAGTGTAAGTTGGTAGCTGTAGGGATGTAAATTATTTTTGAGTTCTAATATGTGTGTCTGTGCTTCCCATAAAATATATGCCTTTACAGTTGCTCATAAAATGAGATACTCAAAGGCAGTGTGGAGGATATCCACTTGTGAAAAATCCTATGGAACTAACTAACATCAAATCAGCAGTTCTGTATCTTCCTTTTATTTTGAAATTGTGATGATATATTAAGGCAGATGATACATTTATGTAAAACTTGCCCTATGAAATGGACACTTTGCTTGGCAGCCAGGCTCAAAAATAGCGTGGCAGATTGCCTGCACTCCCACCAGTGTGGATGGGTCCGGAAGCCTGCAAAGAGTGGAGTCAAAGCAGTAATTAGGCAGGCAGCTATTAGCAAAGATGAAATGGGGAGAGGGACTGGCTGATGGGAGCTGGGAGGATCAATAATGATAGTATTATTTATGTTATGCACTGTTTTTCTGCAGGGCTTTACAGTGAGACAGGAAAGTAATAAATTGCTATTATCTTTGAATATGAACAGGTGGAGGGCAGGAGCATGAACAGGTGGAGGGCAGGAGCAAGGAGAATTTGCTCTTAGAAATAGAAGTAAAAGGATCGTGGGGGAAGACTTCAAATGCACATCCTTGGGTTGTTTTAGGGAGAATTAGAAGCTATTAACATTGTAGGCTTTTGCAAATCTTCTCCCATTCTACATTAGGGAGGGGGATTTTTTTCTGTCTGCTGGGGAGAGCCACCACTTTCTGATGTTCCATTTTTGATGTATTTTTGTGTTTTGTGGAGTAGAGAAATTGATGTACAGTTTAATTGTTAGACATCCAAGGTCAGGAACCATGGCCTGGCTCTTTGGAGAAGAGGTTGAAGTTTCTTGAGACTTCTTCAGTCGTATCTACTGTGCAAGAGCATGGAACAGTACAAGTAGTGATCTGTGTTTCTAGTGCCTGGGGAAGCAGTTGACCTGTGCATTTGTGTTTTCTCTTAGAGCCATCCTGAGATGGGCCTGATGACATCACCAACGAGCCCAGTTCCAACCACACCTGTCACTCCACTTGGAACCACCCCACCTTCTTCAGATGGTAAAAATGCAATGATATCCTGAGGAAAAAGAAGTTAAAACTGTTAAATAACTAGCAAGCTATTTTCTGGAGACTGCAGCTAATGAGGTCTGTCTGGAGCAGATGTAACTTGGTGGTCTTTTCCTGGAGTAATATGCCTTGCTAAAAATGAGCAAGATTCTTTGACTCTATTTTTATTTTGCCTTGTGTATTGCTCAATGCAATTACGCTGATATTCCTTCTGAAAATAGTACTGCCCCAATATTTGCATGAAAGTATACCCAGCCCATTAGTTATTCTGTGTAGGCTTTTACTTATGAATATTTCTAGTGTCAGGTCCTTTGCCTGGGATTATTTCTCTTTGGAACAGATTTACAGAGAATGCTGTGGATTCCTGCTTGTTGCTAATGCACTTGTCCTCAGCTTTGAATTAATTGGGATTTGAATTCAGCCTGGGTGTGGAAGTATTCCTCCCTCTTATTGCCTTTTCTTTGATAGGCTTTGTAAAGGACTGCTTAACCTGAGATCTGTCTTCTAAATGAGATGTTATGTGTCCACATAAATATGCTTTGAAATCATCTAAAATAAACCCCTTTCATTTTAGGGTATGGATAGATATAGCCTAGTTGAAGAGAAGAAATGAAATGGCTGTTTTCATGTACTTTAATGGCATCTGAGCTGAAGAGAGTTTAATGAAGGAACAGAGTCAATTTGAGTAGAGCACAGTTTGGAAATATTTCTGGGGAAAAGCAGCCTGGGTTACTCAGTTATATCAGCTATTCAGGTCATTTGATACCCTAGTTAAGGATGATCCTCCTCATGGATGAATTCTGTCTGGTTGCCATGGATAACAAAAGCTTCAGATAAAGAGTGCCCTGTGTCTCTGTGTGCATGTAACATAAAATGTGGAGGGATGGGCATTTTGTGGGCTTCTGTTCAACGTGTTCATTGCAAATGTATCCACCCCCACACCATATTACACAACTGACAGAATTTGTGCTTACCTACATCTACAGCTTGCTTGCCCTTTTTTTCTTTATTTTTGCATTTACCACAAGACAAAACAAAACCTCCATCCTGCTTTCAGCAAGGCAGTGATCTTGAAGTTTGAGGCTTCTTGTGGCTTGTATAGTTATTAAATTTAAGAAAAGGATCTGATCTTTATGTGCAGCAATTGCATTGGGAAAGTTGCTTTATTTTTATCTGCTGTCACCTTGTTGGTCCCTACAATGTGTTTTTTTTTTTTTTTGTGTGGCCCTTGGCTTGGTTTAGTTTGGTGGTGCTTGAGTACTGCTGTTTTAAAGAGATGTCAGAATTTTTCTCATTTACTAAGGTCTTGCAACTCAGCTGTAAAATTTGCCTATGGCTGCCAGTTAACAAGAGGCTTTTTGGCTTTGGAATGATAAGATTGCTTTCTCTTAACTGCATGAAAATAATGTGTAGTTGAACTGTTTACAACTTACATTAACATGTAGAAATCCATCTATCAACTTCAGGTGCTTTTCTTTGTCTGGGATAAAAAAAGGGTTCATATTTTAGTTTGAAATTTCTCTGGCTGTTAACCTATAGTGTAAATTAAGACCTTGTAAAGTATCAAAATGTGTGTTAAAAAGGTCTGTATCATGAACCAGGATAAGCAGAGATGTGTTCTTCAGAGTGGTTTCTTCCTTTTTTTTTTTTGAGAAATGAGGCTTTTGCTAGAAACTGTTTATCCATAATATGTAAATCAAGTGTGCCTGTCACCATAGTTATCTAAATGTCAGTTTGCTTACTGTTGTTAAATATTCATTCACTACGTTCATTGTAACAGCTCAAGAAGGATCCACTGGGGATATAAATACATTTTTCAGACTTTTCGCTAAATCTTTGAGCTATTCATAATATTGGGAGTGAGAAAGCTTCCAGACTCATTGCACAGACTTTGCCAACAGACATGGCACATTACTGATGTGTCAGGAACCCCAGGTCTTCAAGACTGAATGGACTAAACTAAACAGTTCATGCCTGGGAATGTGCAACCTTTATAACCTAAAAGCCCCATTATGTTTTTTAATGTGATTCAAACAGTGAAGTTACACTGATCTATTTGGTCTCTTGTTTCCAAGGGCTACAGTTTGGTGTTGAAGGTGATTGTGTAATCCTGAGTTCCATGAGAACCTCTGCTGTACTCTGGGCCTCTCACTGCACAGTTTAAAGAATCCTGCATTTTACTCTTGGCTTGTCTCCTTCATCCTTCTGTGCCTGCCCTTGCCCTAGTTGAAGCCTTACTTGCCTCATTACAGGGTTATGAGCTACAAGCCTTGAGTTTTGAAAGGTGTTTTATATTAAAGCAGACTTTTCTCGGAACCAAAATACAGCTGTGTACAGGATGAAATTCCCCTCCGAGCCCCCAACCTAGTCATCTAACAATCAGATTCCTCACTTCTTACAAGGTCCAATCTCATGATAAATACCTTTTTCTTTCCTAAAAGGTGAGAAAAGCCTTGAGCATTCCTGAGGATCGGCAGAAAAGAGATGATGTAATACTTAAGATGTGTGTACTCAGTGGTCTGTAAATCTGTTTCCAGTGCAAAGAGTGTCTTGTCTTAGGCTGCTTTTGTAGCATGAGAAGAGAGAGTCTTTGGTAAATTGTAATTCAAGCCATCTATGACCTTCTGAATGTGAGAACCTGTGAGTTTCACCCTCTAGGCAGCCAGAACAGTCATGTTATCGTCATGTCAGGACAGTTGCATAGAGCTGGAAAAGGTCTCCTTAGCTCTTGAGCCTAGTGCCCTGTGCTTGCAGGCATATCAGCATACAATCCCTTGAATTTATCAAGCTCTGACTGAATCTATTAAATTTGTTTCCCAATAATTTCTGTTGGGGGGAGTTTTGAATATTCCTTGGTTAGAAATATTCAGCTTTGCAACCTGGATTTCTTGTCAATTGCTACCCATTTGTCATGGTGTTAAGCCTCCCCTGAAACAAAGGTTGCTCTTCTTCACGTGTTGGTTTACTCACCTGTGTGTTTTGCTGTCTCTCAAGAAAGGTACTCTCTTCTTCTGGCCAACACACTAGCCTGTCTTTAAACTTGTTCAGGTTTAAGTTTATCCTCCTTGAACACAGCTTGTGCATAATTATGCCCAGTGTTTGAGACAAGGCCTCACCATAGCCTTGTGCAGGGCACTACAGTGTTTGTGTCTCTGTTGGAAGTGCATTTCTGGATGTATGTTGTACAACTGCACTCCTCAGCCCTTGGTAGCTTGTCACCTTGTGATCTGCTCATGGTATTTGGTTTGCAGCTGACGAGCTCTTAGCCTGCCATGGAAATAAACCCCCAAATTCCTGACCCTATGGCTTGCATTGTTTAATTTCATCTTGTGTTTGTTATCTGTTCTTGTCTTTATCCCATTTTTGTGTGCAGTCTGATACTCCTCTGTGCTTACACATCCCAACTTTCTGCCATTAGCAGGTTCATTATCAAGCAATTATATCCAGGTTTGCTTCTTATGTCCAGGTCACACAGAAAAACAAAGAATTATTCTCTAAACTGATGTCTACAGAATTCAAGCAGTAATTTTTTCTCAGACCAGTAATTTCTCCAATTGTATCTTGTTTGCCAGATCTTTGATATGAAATATAAATTTAATTTAATTTAAATTTCTTTATGGGTTCCCACCTATTTCCTTCACTTTTAATTTTTTTTATACAAAGCTGTATTAAGTACTCTACTGAAATGTTCCTAAGCTAGCTCCATCAGCTTGGGGATCTTTTTGTCTGAGCTACTTTATCTTAAATGGCATCAGACTTATCTGGCAGGATCTGCAGGTAAATGCATGATGCATGTTTCCCACTGATCTTTCTCCTCCCTTTCAATATTTCTTGTAAAGCTTTCCAAATGGAAAGGCAGAGAATGGCCCTTTAGGACAGCTCAGGCTCAGTCATCAGTAAAAATGTGGCTCAGTCACATGGTAGAGGCTTGACAGCTCATAAACTCAGTGCTTCAGATGGTGCATGGGGAATGGGGGAATGAGTGGGGAGGCACATTGTGCAATTAGCTGAGGAGATGAAATAGCTTCTTGTAAAGTCTAAGGCTGATGATGTCCACGGTTAGGGTGTCAGAAGTACAGCTGGTGTGCTAGAGAAATGCCAGTGAGCTGCTGAGGGTATGGAAGGTACAGTTCTGCTTCCTGCTGGGTTGGGATGTACCTAGCACAAGCTGTGACTGCTTTTGCTTCTTGGTTTTTATAGATCTTACGTTTCTGCCTTCCTTTTCTTTCTCTTTGGTACTGCAATAATTGTTACATTATGTCTTGTGTGTTGCTTCTGCAAGAGAAACTGTTGTTGAGAGCGAAGAATGGAATTGACACAGACCTTTTGGAACTAACATTTCAAAATTGCTGAAACAGGAAAGGGCCTTTCCTGGGCACGTCTTTTTACAAAATGAGAATTGTGTGACTGTTATCTGTGTTGCTTGTAAGAATTAATTGGATATCAGTGCAAATATGTTGATGAGTGCTACAACCATGGGCTCATCTCCCTGGGAGGAGGAGCAGGGGCAGGATAGGGAAGGATATCACTCTGCAGGGTACCAAAGTCTATGCTTAGAGCAGGAGAAATGTTCTCTGAGGGAGTGGTACCAGTCTGCATAGCAAAATCTTTCCTGGGTGGTCATGGAGGAGGAGGTCAGGTGGCCCTGCAGGTAGGCTGAACCTACCCCAGACCTGTGAGTCTGTGTCTTAGTTCTCTGTATAGTTATTTCTTGTATTTGTATAGGATAAATGTGTCTTATCTGCTTTGTTCCAGTTATAAGCTCTGCAGAGCTGCCTTTGGATGCTGATGTGCAAACGAGCAACCTGCTGATAACCTTCTTGAAGTACAGCTCGATTGTGATGCAGGACACAAAAGGTAAGTGAAGTCTGTGCTTGCAGCCAACAGTGCTTCTGAAGTCAGGAGGGCACGAGAACATGCCTAGTGACTCCAGAAATAGAAGTGCAGTCTCTTTATAAAAAAATTGACGATTTCACCTTTTGAAAAAAATTAAGTGATTTCTTATTGTGAGATAAGACTTATGAAAGTAGGAGAGATGTCAGGTATGGAAAGAATTTAATAATAAAAGATAATACCTAATAACCAAGCCTGTGTATGTGCCAAAGGTGTGAGTATATCTGATTCACAACTATCTGTCAGAGAGGGCAAGTCTGACACCAGAGCTGTATTTTTAAGAACACTTAGAAACTGACACAGAGGGCAAAGCTCAGCATTAGAAGGAAATACTTCCTTTGTCCTTTGGTTAAACAAGTAGCTCTGTTATTATAAATAGGGCGGCAGCAGCTTAGACTGCGCTGGCAGTAATTTGCTTGAGAAAGTATCTGTGTTGTGCTTTTTGTTCTGTGGGGGTTAATTTCAGCTTGCTGGAGCTGAAGTATTGCTTAATCTCCTGCTCAGGGTACCCAAGGGTGCTGTTTTGCCCAGTGGTTATAAGGGCAGGACCACAGTGTGAACATAACAAGTGATCTTTGCACCGTATTTCAGGCTGTTACTGGCTTTTGCTGTTAAGTTAGATATAACAATAGAAATATGAAGATATCTGCAGAGCTATGATATATCAGTTACTGAGTTTCATGAATGCATAGCATTGAATAAGAGAGCAGGCAGTTTCCTTTTATCTACTAGCTTGCAGTGAAGTTGTATTTCGCTGTCTGGCACTTGTTCAGTAAGCAAGCTAGTTGAAGAAAAAGTAATAATTGAAATTAGGACCAGAAGGAACTTCATGCACCCCTACCTGGTTTTGGCTGGGACAGAGTTAATTTTCTTCTTAGTATCTGGTACAGTGCTGTGGTTTTGGATTCAGGATGAGAATGATATTGGTAACACACTGATATGTTGGCTCTGGCTAAGTAGTGCTAACCCCATGTCAAGGACTTTACAATGCTCTGTCAGTGGGGAGGTGCACAAAAAGCAGGGAGGGAGCAGGGCCAGGGTAGGTGACCTGAACTGGCCAGAGGGATATTCCACACCACAGAATGTCATGCCCAGTATGTAAACTGCAGGAGTTACCCAGAAAGAGATGATTGTTGTTTGGGGATGGGATGGGCAGCAGGCAATGAGCAATTGTATAATGAACTGTATTGTGTAGCACTTGTTTCTCTTTGGTTCTGTTACCCTCTCTTGCTCTGCTGATTATTATTATGATTATCACGATTATGATGATGAGGTTTCAGTTATTAAATTGTTCTTATCTCAACCCACATGATTTACTTTTTATTTCCAATCCTTCTCCCCACTGTGGGGAGAGAGGAAGCATTGTGAGTGATTGAGCAGCTGCCTGGTACTTAGTTACTGTCTGGGGTTAAACCATAACTGCTTGGAACCCAGGCAGAATCAGGTTTACCTGTATCTTTTCTCAGAGGTTTTGCTGACAGGTTGGGTTAAGATACTGTGATAATGGAGCACCACTTTCAGCCTATCCATTCCAGTGTGTAATTGTCCTTGCTGTGAGAAAGCCTTGTGTGCTTCCTAAATTCTTTGCTGTGATTTAAATTAATTGCTAGTTATCTTCTCCAAGATAGATATTGAGAATGGATTATTTATTTTTTCTATGTGTCATCCCGTGCATATTTGAAGTCTGCTTTCATGTTTCCTCTTGCTTTTGTCTTTTGAACTAAACCCCATCAGTCTTGGCTCAGTCATTTTAATAGATTACACACGTGAGGAGGGCTTACCAGCTCTCTAATTTGCTCATTCTCATTTGCTTTTCTCAGGGTCTGTCTTGCTGATCCAAGACTCTGATGGAAGAATTTTATATTTTTCAATTTAACTTCTGCCCTTATTAGTCACTGTAATATGGAAAGTCTGTACAGGGCCTTGGAAGCTGCTACACAGGATTAGTTTCAGATAGAATAAAATCTGATAGAAGGGATTCCTTACTAAACAAGCTAGTGAGAGATAAGTTTATTGTGTTATGAGACAGGAGTTGATGTTTCTTTCTTTACTTTGGTTCTAGCTTGTATAAGGTCTGAAATTTGTGTAGCTGATAGACCTCCTTCCTACCAGTAATTCGTGGCAGTGAACTCCACTGATTGATAATTTAAAAAGTGTGCCTTCTAAACCAGTACTTATTAATTCTAGTGGATATGTTCCTGTCCTTCTATTTTGATTATAGATGCAGCACTGCCTTATTTTTTTTCTTGTATAAGATCAAGCATGGAGCAGACTGCCCAGGGAAGTACTCAAGTCACAATCCCTGAAGGTATTTAGGAGACATGTAGATGTGGCAGTCAGGGACATGGTTTACTGGGAGATTGGCAGTGCTGGATTAACATTTGGACTCCATGATCTTCAAGGTCTGTTCTAACCTAAACGATTCTGTGCTTCTATGTGACACCAGTGTAGCAAGCAGAATGAATAATTCTCATTTGCTCCTTGTGTCTTGAGACAGGTGGGAACACATATAGGGGAAACTGGTTTGTTCCACATCCAGGACTAGGCAGTTGTTTTGGTGCTATCCCAGAGAGCATAATTTAATAGATGGTGTTTGCTAGAGCCGCCTCTTGTTATCCTCCCTTGTGTCAATCAGAGGCAGCTGCCTTGGGAGAAACAAACCCTCTGTGTCATTTTCTCCCATCTGCAAAACAGGTTTTGTGCTGCTATGCCTCCCAGTAGAAAGTGGTTTGCTTTGTTGCTCTAATGAAGGGTTCTGTGAAAGTGTAAAGTGTGTGCAAGTAACTGCTTGCAGAGCTGCCCCACAGCTCCTGAAAATGGTCTGATGTTCACAATACACTGGCAGAGGGCAGAGTCCATGGTGTGGAACAGGAGCCTTTACAGCATCATCCCCAGAGAGAGAAGTGGTGGCAGCACCTACAGAAATATACAGGGAGGCCTTACAATATAAAAATAACAAGACTCCTGTGTATCAGTTTTATTCTAGGTCATTTCTCCTTCTTGCTGAAGTACAAAACTTCACACTTAAACGTTTTAGCTGAGGTAAGGAGACGGGAGAGGCTTTTAACTCTTCCATTCCAAAATTCCTCTTCATCTTACTTAGTGCTGCAAGATGAAATCAGCACACTTCAGGGCACATCTTGTTAGTAAATATCTGTCCCTGAGCCGCATAGAAAACAAAACAGGTGTCAAACTAGACAGAACAGCTAGCTAAGCCCATTCTATCTGTTTTTATAATTACCAGATACACACCAGCTAGCAAAGTGTTTGTCAAAGTCACCTGCAAAGAAGGAATTTGACTGATGGTGTCTTGTGCTTTACGTGAAAGTGTGTCTGACTCTTTCAGATATCCCTCTCCTTTGAGTTTGACTCTAAGGCAGAAGTCTGGGATGGCATGTTTAGTACTCCTGTGCTTTAGAGCAGCTTTTGGAAATTTTGGGAATGTACAATGTGAAGCCTTCTCAGAATTTAGTTATGAGTGTGTTGTTTATGGTTGGTTTATTTTTGTGGGTTTTGGGGTGTGTGGTCCAAGCACATTATTATTTAGAATGAAGATTTTTAAATGTGCTTGATTGGACAGTACCTTCTACAACATGATCTTACCTGACCCTGCTTTGAGCAAGGATTGAACCAGAGATTTCTTCTATCCTGTGTTACTCCATGACTATATGTATCTTGGGTTTTCTTATATTCAGGGTTAAAGTTGAGAGGGGTTTTAGATCATCCAAATAAAAATTGCATTCTTCTGCCTTAGTCCCTCTGTTTTGCTCCAGCTGTCATTCAAGGCAAAAGCTGTTTGAAGTTGTGAGATGAATAAGAAGTTGTGGAACATGGTCAGGGTGAAACTCTTGCCTTAAAATGCTAAGTCTTTGCAGACTCCCTTCTTTCATGGTTTTGCAAAGAGCAAAGTAGGTCGTGTGTCTCAATGTTGGGGTTAGAGCTTGGAACTTAGAGCATAATGTCAACAGTTGTTTTGCTACACAGTGCTGTGCCTCTGTGAAAGCTCTGCTGCTTGTTTCATAACCTACAGCAAAGGTGATGTTCTGCTTTCCACCTTGTATAAGAGAGGGAACAGTGTGTCTCTGCTGTGACAGGAGGACAGTATTTAGAATATCTGTGGAAGTAAAACTGAATGTGACAGAATTGTGGACTGTTACAATGCTGTTGGAAGTTCAAATCTGAATCTTTGCTGTTGGTGCTGGCTGGTGACAAGTGGGTGGGATTTAGTGGCCAGACTGGAGGGTGAGTACTGTCAGCTGTTATGGAGGAAGTAGGACTATGAAGAATCTCCAAGCTGGGCTTTTCTTTTGCTGCAACAGCTGTCTTGCTCTTCAGCCTTGCTAAGCTTGTGTGGCTCATGGAGGATTTGTTTTCTCTCCTTTTCAGATGAGCACCGGCTGCACAGTGGCAAGCTGTGCCTCATCATCCTCACGTGCATAGCAGAGGTAGGTTGCTCCCGTGAAGCTGCTCAGCTGATGGTGTGTTACAGGGCTCTATGCCCCTGCCTCCTGGGGGGCAGGAGCTGAATATCCACAGTGGTACTGAGTGGTGAGGTCCTCAGACACTTACTTGATGCAGGACTGTTAAAGTTGACTTGAAACTTGAAAATGGGATTATCTTATTGGAATTGACCAAATTCTGGGGATGAGTAGAGAAAAGAGCGAACCCAAAGCCTTTTCTCTCTTAGCTTTTGAGTGACCCTGTGGTGTGGCTTTTAGATGAGTAATGTTCTAATGGCTTTCAGCTGAGAGCTGTTCATGGTAAACACAGGCTGTGCCATATCCCTTCTGCCAAAGAAGGATACAAGCTGAAAGTAAGTCACGTGTTTGTAGGTCCCTACAAGCAAGACAAGTAGCAAATGTGGTAGTAGGGTGAGAAAGCAGCATCACAGAGTTCTGTCAGCAGTCCTGGCTGAATGTGGCACTGTCTCATGGGGACTATGTTCTAATGGCTGACTGATGTCCTGAATGGTGATTGTGTTTGTGTGGCATTTACATTTTGCTTGCTTGCAAGTAAAGACCTTTCATCCTTAAAGAATAAAAAGCAGTGAGGTTGATAGCCCTTGTAAGGATTCTGTAATAATGTTTCTTCAGGGTGCAGCCTGAAAACAAATCGTCTACATTTAAAATTTTTCTAAAAAAATGGTTTTGGCACTTGTTCTTCAGGTGGCTGCATAGATAATGTAAGATAAGAAAGTCTGTTCCTGCATAACAAGAGCATTCTTTGGTTCTGATATTAAAGAGAGGGTATATTTATTAGCTATTCTGGCTGTGCATTATCTGGAGAAGTCTCTTTAATTTGGAGGTGGTCTTGGAATGAAATTTGCTGGAGGGATGGACCAGCTCATAAACCTATCTGCTAGTACTGTAGTAGCTTCTGGAATCAAAATGCCAGAAGAAGCCTTTATCCACACAGGCACAGAACTGGTGCTGGAGACCCACCTCTTATATTATATACCTGGAGCACTTGTTAAACTTGTCACACCATGGTGTGTACAGTCCAGAGTTTAAATGAGCAAAGGGGGAGAAAGTTAGACTGAACTACTGCTTGTTTTGTTAGCAATTTATTTTTCTAATGTGGAATTGGGATCAGGAGGGGTTTACTTTTGTGTGACTGGAAACATGGGTGGGACAAGAAGAAATGGACAGATAGCTTTATAGCTTGGTGGTTGGTTGTATCTTGCGAGTTTGACACTGAAACACGTGATTTGAAAGCCAGCTGTAGGGTGTTGGGTTTTTCATATCTCCTCCCGTTTTTCGCCCTTCTCAATAGGATCAATATGCTAATGCTTTTCTTCATGATGACAACATGAATTTTCGTGTAAACCTACACAGAATGGTGAGTCTCTTCCTCCAGATTGTTTTCTCTTTAGAATGCAAACACAAAGGATTTGAGTACGTATGAAAAATATATGTTGAGAATTGTGTCACAGTCATCTAACCTACATTGCTAAGGCATGTGGAAATACTGTCAGAAATGCAGTAGCTGCAGAATGATTTGAAAGTTGCTCTCAGAATGTCTCCATTCTTCAAAGAACAAAGAGCTCTTTGCCCTGTCAGTGAATTCAGAGGCCTGTCTAGCTGGCGAGGAGCTTTGTATTACGAGGTCTCTGAGGAAATCAGTGCTAGAGAGAACGTTCTGCCTTAATCTCCAGCAAGCATTAGCCCTCATGTGATACATAATAGCCAGCTGGAGTTACACTGAGTGCTCTTATTTGGCTTATTCTGGGTGGAGTAATTCACCTTCAGGGAGGAAAGTGTTTTTTCCAGAGCTTTTTCCTGTGATGGAAGTGTCCTTACCTGGCTCATGAAGCTCTGCACTTACAAGTAACTTGAACAGTTATCCTAACTTGATCCATTCTGTCTTTGTGGTACTGGCACAAAGTTCCACCTCATCTGACAGTGAAGCAGCAACTGAAAGTCACTCACTGTTCAAGAAAGAAACAAACATTTTACTTTATGGAGACCGTACTGCAAGAATTGCTAGTCATTAGCCCTTAGCAACAGATTTGCTATCCAGTTTGCCTTTCTGGTCTGTTTCAGTAAACACCAAAGCCATTGACTACTGTACACACTGTTAAGAATGCCAATCAGACTTCTGGGTCAGAAACAAATCAGTATGTTAACCAAGGGGGAGGAATTTCTGTGTGATTTGTTTTTGTCTTGGGGTCCCTCTCCTCAGTAGAACAGTGCCTCCCAGATACACTGCTACAGAAAGAAATCCCAGTTATCAGCATGCTGGAAAGCAGACACAATTTTGTTCCAGCCATGGTCTTCAGGATTAGTATGTATAAGATGGTAGTTGGATAAAAAGACAAAAGGAAGCCTGTGCTGATTGTACTATTTGCTTGAAAAATACAGTAGTACACAGACTGTCACTTGAGGCTTGTGCTGACTTCTTTTGACCTTGGTGTGTTTGCAGCCGATGAGGCATCGGAAGAAAGCAGCAGACAAGAACCTGCCCTGCCGCCCGCTGGTGTGTGCGGTGCTCGGTGAGTGTTGGCAGAGCTCCTGGGTGCTCGTGCCTCCTGAAGCATCTCTTGTTGGGCAACCGAAATATGAGATTTGAGGATTAAATGGAGCAGTGGATGGACTTAAAAGAAGGACAGTTACATACTAAAGATGTTTTCAGCAATCCATGCCCATCTTTGTACATGGCTACCTTGCAGACAAATCCAAGATTGCAGCTCTGTAGCAATAAATCCTACCATACATTTACAGAAAATTTTACAGACACTGCTTGGTCCATTTGAGCTGAGTTTTTAGTAAGAGGGAGGGCAGTTGATTAATAAGTTCAGTGTTTAGGTGAGTGTGGTAGCAACGACAAGTACTTTATAGATGATATGGTAATGGCAGACCTATGGTTCACAAAAACATATTTGTGAACGTGTTTGCTGGGCATTGAGCCTTTTCTGAGCCAAAAAACAACAGGAATGTTAGTAGCTAGGATTGGTTTTGCCTGTGGATATGGAGGCGTAGTTGAAAGCCTTTCATGCAGCACATGATTAAGTTGTGACTCTCGTTACTGTGGAGGCCAAAAGCACATGTGAGTTCAGAAATGGATGGAGCCTGCATCCCTGAAAGGCTGTTCAGCCTCATGGTACAGGAGCAGTCTTAGACTTCAGCATTTTGAAACGTGATTGTTGAAGCCAAGACACAACAGCTGAATGAAGAATCTTTCTAGAGCTCTCAGATCCCACAGACTCCTCACCTGCACTGTTCCTAGTCACTTTTGAGTCACGCTGCTGGGCTCTTACTGCCCTAGGAGGTTACAGCTCACGATTGTGGCTTGATATGAATATTTCGTGCTGAAGTTGGGTTGAACACACCCCCACACATATTCAGTTGTCATTGATTAGCTTCTCTCAATTGTATTTCTATACTCTTTGCCTCTTATCTTCATACTGGAGGCCCTTAAAGGTTAGACACATTCTGCTTTTTTCTTCTTTCCCTGAATTAGTCTTAAGCACAAGCTTAGCCTGTGTTGAGGTCAAACTAGCTTTACTTGCTTCAGAATTTATTTTAGGAAAAATAGGTGTTATTTACAATGTCTCTAAGTAGCATCTAGGTTGTGCATTGTTTCTGAATAAATTTCTAAAATGTGCTTCTTAATGGAATTTTCCATTAGTGACAGGGCTTGAAATATGAGAGCAATTCTAAACATCAGAAGTCATGGTATAGTCTTTATTTGACTAATAGTGGGGGAAACCATATGGGGAAGCAGTGCCTCAAAGCCAATTACAGTATGTACCCTCAGTTTCCAGTAGGTTCTTTTCTAGTTCTAGCAAATGTCTACTGTTCTTTAGAACAAACAAACAAAAAAGTGAAATCCCTTTCATCTAAGAAGGACTATTGTCTGGTAGAGATAGGTAGGTGGGGCAGTTTGACTTCCTTGTAGTCTACTAAAAGCTAACAGTAGCCAGCTCAATACTTACTTTATAATTTTCTTTTCTGTCAGATTTGATGGTGGAATTCATTGTAACACACATGATGAAAGAATTTCCTATGGATCTCTATGTGTAAGTGTCTGTGGGGTAACTCACTGTGATTTCATTTGAAGTTTGAATTTAGGTAGAATCCTGCCCATAGAGCAATCTTCTGGCTGAAATAACACTTTGTGGCTGGTGGGGAGTGGGATGGCTTTTCATGAACTCTTCCAGTAACTTTTTCTACTTCAAAAATCCTCTGTGTGCCAGAAAATTGAAAGCAATTCAATTTCAGACTGTTTCCCTAATCTACTTGATCTAACACAAAGAGCTTTTCAGTCTAAAAGAAGTTTCGTAACATGGAGTCATTGCAGCAATCCCCACTTCCCAGAAGATGAATCTTGGTCTAGAAACAGAAAAGACAGTTTTGAAAAAGCAAGGATGACTGGCACGAGGCCTGGAAGGCAGTGTGGAGAGGGAGGGAGGGAGGTTTAAGCCTGAGATGGCCTGCTAGGCAGCAAGGGGTAAAACTCAGCAATGGACAAAAGGAGGCGAGAGGACAGAGCTGCTCCTGAGCACTCCCTGTGTCCCACAGGGGCCTCTCCAATGCTTTGCACTGCTTTAGCCTGGAGGGCAGAAGTAGGATTTGGACAGTTTGTTGGCTTTGCTCTGACTGTTTGTACAGTGCTGAATTTCCCCAAGATGTGAACAGCACTATATTCTGGAGCAAAGATAAAGATAGGATGTTTTCCCTTAAGGTAACTTTTCAGCATATTCTGGTTTTGCCCAAATAACCTTGCAATTACAGTGCCTTTTCAAGGGTTGTGCAGTTCAACTGAGTTTGTGAGAATTTCTTTTTTTTAATGACAATTGCAGAACTAATTGTAGATGGATGTAATGCTCTGAAGTTTCACAAGAAAGGTGTGAAATGCTTGGACTCAAAAGCAGCATCACATCTAGAAACCCCATAACATTAGAAATAATGAGCAGTAGCGACCATCAGTGGACATTTGTATCCATTTGTTTTGGCATGTTTGTGCAGTCCTTTCACTCTGCTCCTGTCTGAAACCATCCCATAGCAGACACAGTTATTGCAGACAAAGCAGGTGTTCTGAATGCACAAGTAGTGTCATACTTCTCTGCAGTGCATTTAAGAGGTGACGATATGAAGCTGCACAAGGCTGGGCATATTAATATTTAAAAGAGAAATCCAGGTTCCTTAGACTAAGAGTACTTTTTGTCCATTATTTGTATTATGAATCCTCAGCACGAAACTTTTAAAACCCAGAGACATCCTACCAAGACAGATAACTTCATAACTTGACTTACAGCCAAGCAGATACAGAGGTGAAAATGTGCTGGGCATTGTCCGGTACCAGTAACATCAGAAACAGGAGATTTCTCCCATAGGGGTTGCTGTTCCTGATCTGAAGACAGCTGTCTATCCTAGCTGGTTTGCTTTCTTTTCTTGGCTGAATTCATGAGAATCCAATTTGAAATGCAGCACTTAATGTCATGCTCAGTGATTATAAATAGTTTTACCTTTATTCAAAGTTAGTTTCAGTTCTTGCTTTATTGTATTTTTGGGATTATCTATGGGTCTGAAAAGAATAATGCATACCTTCTGCATCATATTTTTTTGCTGCAACCTTGTTTTAAAGCCTTGTCTTGAACTTTTCACCTCATTTTGAATAAATTCCATGCAGATTTTTAGAATTTAATTTCTCCATGTTTATCTGATGTGCAGTGTCTTTCATCAGTGTCTTTTCAGAAAGATGTGGGATAATAATGAGATAATGTGTTTTTGAGAAGTAGGGATTTGGGGGAAAGAGATGTTTCTTTCTGTTTTGTAGTCTTCCTTCTATTTTTTTCTCCATGTCAATAGCTAAAAATAGCTTGGCCTGACCAATTCAAATATGTATATATTTTTGTCTTGCCCATAATGATAGTGTTAGAGAATTTACTCACTGTACTGTATTTTTAGTTTGGATGTTATTTGTGAAGAATGTTTTTGCACTTAGGAATCTGTATGAACATTAGATGCTATAGAGACCTACAGCATTTGGAGACTTGACAAGTGCACTTCTTGTATGTTGGGGGATTCCAGAGCTTGCATGTGTATTGCATGAACATTCCAAAGCTCATACTTAAATTAAGGAGACTGGAAAATTTGATAGAAATATATTTCTTTTGTTTTTTAATGTAATTAAACCATACACTGCAGTCAAACTAAAAGTTCTGTAGTTTTTCTGACACCCTCATTTCCTTTAGCCTCATCACTGGGGCCAGAGAAACACAGAAGCTTCATTGTGTCCAAATTTTACAGCAGCTTGCAGTATCTCACTGCAAGTTAAGTAACTTGTTCTGTAGTTTATGAGGCCCCTAGGTTAGGGTAGCAAGGAGTGAAAAGTATTTATTGAACAGCAAACATGCATTTGTGGTCAGTCCTATTCTGTTGAGTGTAAACTGGCGTACAGGCCCCTTTTTTCATTTGGTCAGATTCTTTCTTTTGTGAGTGTTGATTCCCCTTAGGAGGCAAAAGTCACAACTCCCATCCTCCTCTGGTAGTCTTTGAATTTGTCTATTTCCCTGCTGCTGATTTCAGTGGTATTTCCAGGCTTGCTGTAGAATTGTGGGGAGATACAATGTCATTAATCCTTTGCCCTCTCTTTTCCAGACGATGCATTCAGATTGTGCACAAGCTGCTGTGCTACCAGAAGAAATGCAGAGTGAGGCTTCATTACACTTGGAGGGAGCTCTGGTCAGGTACTTGGCCTCTGCAGAGACAGTCAAATAGGAAAAAACCCACAGTGATGGTTGTTCTGTGGCCATAACTGCTTGTTCCCTTGCTGCTGGGTTGAAAAGCAAGCAGCAGTTCTGTTAAAGCATCTTTATGTTGCTTCTTAGTTGCTGCATGCAAATTGCCTCCTTTGGAAAGCTAGTTCATTATCATAATGGTAGCTAATTTACTTCCTTGTCTTCCATGCTCACTACGGTATCCAAATGTCTTTGTTTTTCTGTTCCATTACCTGAGTCTCTCTTTACCTGATTGGAGAAAATGGAGTAATGTTTTATGCAGTAGTATTTCTCTCTCAGATATTTGTGAGTAGAAAGGAGGTAGGCTCTTGGGTAAAGGGAGATGGACCTTGCTTTTCCTTTTACTGCAATAGCTGCTCACGCATAGAATAGTGTATGCAGCTCCTAAAGAGAGCAGCCTTGAAATGTCAATGTGAGGGAAGAGAGGCTTTTAACTCTGACCTTTGAGTTGATGGTAGATAGTCTGGTTCATGCCACTTGCATCCCAAGATGGATAAATAAGTATTGTGGAATCTGAGATAATCTAGTGGACAGCTTTGTAGGACTCTTATGTGAAGCAGTCATTGTGTGGGAGGTCTGGGGAGGGGAGTAGCAGAATGGGTGATGAGACCTAACAGGCATCTTTGGTGGATATGGTTTGTGCTTCAGTTCTTATGTAGCCAGTGAAGTAGCTCAGCCAGGAAAGTACAGTTAATCCCCTTGCTGTTGTGGCTTAAACAAGAGCTTTATGAAAATTCAAGGGAACATGGCCCTAATTGTGTATTCCTGGAGCTGTGCTTGAGACCTAGGATCAGCGACTTGCCTGGTGTAATGCAACTCTCATCGGAAATTTGAGAGGATGGCTTTTGAAAGAGGCAGTGATCAGTGGTTTGTGAGGCTCTTCTCAATTGACACTGAGTACTTCCCTTCAGTAGCTTTGCCCAGCTGAGATGTAGGTACTGAGAAATGAACCAACAACCTGAGTCATTTTCAGTTACTGAATTTTCACCTTATGTGACATGTGGCCCATTCAGACTTTCTAAATTATTCCTGCAGAAGGTGAAGTGGGTGCCACTAATTAAGGGATTAGCAGTTCCTTTTCAGTTGTTTTCCTCAGAACAGAACCCCTAGAGGCATGGCTGTAGTGTAGTGCCAGTTCAGGAGATGAGTGTGTAGAATGTGGATGTCTGTTGTGAATGGAAATTGCATCTGGCAATGTGTATGATATCTTCTCAGCAGTTACAGTGAACCAGAGCCATTTCCATTTGGCCAGGATGGAATTTTTTGCTTTTCTACATACTGGCAGAGTGGAAGTTTGAAATATAGCACCTTTAGCTTGAAAGTATTCTTCCACAGTTCAGGGAGCACTCGTTGGCATCTTTAAATCCTTAACTTTCCCTATTTTAGGGAAGGAGAAAAAATTAACATACTCACTACGCATTGAGATTCAGCATCTTGGGATATTCTTGTTAGCTGTCTCTAATTAGCTGGTGTTTATATAGACCTTTGGAAACATAAAGTGCCTCAGAAGTATTAAGTACTGCACATGCTTTGAAAGCAAAGCAGTAATCTAAAAACACTTGGGTTGATCAGGTTTCTGTGAAGGAGCTGAAACATTGGCACACCCGATGTAGCTGAAGAGCTCTATGCTTATGATAGATTTTTGTGTATTTTGGGTGATCCTCTTCTGAGTGTAAACTACTGTAGAATGTTTCAAAATTATTATTTTTTTAATAGGATGTTGAGGTGAACAGAGAGATTCTTCTGTAGCTGCATAAGTGGTTTATACAGGCTGGAAGACCCTGTGTGAAATGGTGCATACACCTGTAAAAGGGCAGGGCTGTTCCAGGTGTGCTTCTAGAATGCTACATAAGTTGCAGAATAAATGCTAATTGCCAGCCCTGTCTTGGGATCTGTTTCATACTTAACTCTGACCCTGTCAAGGTTGCTCTTTGATTACCCAGAATGCTGCTGCCTTTGATGTGAAAGAATATCTCTTTCTGTGGTGTTGATCTGTGTGACAGACAATTCCAAACCAGAGCACAAGACTTCTGAAATAATTTCTGTCCTTCATATGACCATCAGGCTTTTGTTTTGGCTCGAGGAGTTAGGTACCACTGCTGGATGAACAGCCAGAAGGGAGCAGCTATTCGCTGTAAGGTCTGAGATACCTGGTTGCCCCATCAGGTGTGCTTCACAGAAGGTCTTCAAGCCCACACTTGTCTTCTGGAATGACAAAGTGTGTGATGACTTTAGCAATGCCCCTGTGGTGTAGTGTGGATAATAGCAGTGGAGGCCCCCCAGCAGAGCTGAGTGGAACAAAGAAGCTGGAGGGAATTTGTGTAAGGAAGTATTGGAAGAAAGGGAGAGAGTTATACCTGGCACATAAAAGGAGGAGAGTTTTTTCAGGCAGAAAATTGAGTGGGAGAAGAAGACAAAGAGAATACTGGGGGCAGGGAGTCGGTATCAGGTGCGGAGGAACTGAGATAAAGGCTGGAGGTGGAAGCAGTAGCAGTGTATGGAGCCTTCTGTTCACTTGCCAAATCTAATGTTAGCTAATCTCTAATTAAGGAAAGCCACTTGGGTGTCATCTGATGGATTGATGCTCTTCCTTTGTGGATGCTTTGTCTTCAGTATGGAAGGCCCAGCAGCACTTGTAGAGTTGCTGCATTTAGTGTTTGATTTTAATTTGCAGTGATGGCAGGGAAAAGCAGTGGAGCCAGGTGCTTTGGCATCTCTCAGGACACGTATCATGCTGTTTATGCAGTCTGTTATATTTTATGCTTTTTTGGATATGCCATTATTTGGCACATTGTTTCCATATGATCTTATTTCTGTTGAACTTTCTTCTGCAACATCTGAGCTTAAAGAAGAACAATATTGTTACAGTCTTTGGATGTGATCCAGCCTGAGCTTCTCTATTAGAATAATTTTTTCACATTAAGTTAAGGGACCAGAGGAATGGTACTCAAAGCAGTATAAATCTCTGGCTGTGCTGACCAGATGACCAAGAATGTTTAGGTGACAGAGAAAGATGCAGGGATTTGAGAGCTGGAAACAGGATTGACAGAAAGAAAACTCTGTGGGTGTCAAGAGTAGTGTGTAGAAGCTTGTTCTAGCTAAAAGCAGTGTGAAAATAAATATCAGATCACTAGTGGAGCTAAATTCTGGAACATCTTAAAAAGAGGGCTGGAGAGTGAGATCTGATTAACCTATGAATGATTGGCAAAGGCAGTTACTAAGTACACCAGCCATTCAGATTGAGAAATGTCTGTTGGTTCTTTTTTAGTAGCCCTTTTCAGCAGTCTGTTCACTTCTGTTCCACCACTGATTAGTGTGCAGCTCTTCCCTTTGAGTGCTAAAGAAAATTTTCAGGTTTTTCACCACTGACCACATACCATTGCTGGTACTAGCCTGGAAATTTGGCCAAGGTCAGAAGCTCTAAGTGGATATGACTCTGTTGACCTGTTTGCTTGCAGACGTTTTGGCCAACTGGAAATCTCCTGGACTGTTATGCCAGGTACCTTATTCTTTTTAAACACTGATTAATTGAATGTCAAGTGTAAGGTACTTCCTCGAGCCAATAGGAAACTTGGGAACAGCCAGTTCACTGGTCTCAGAAACAGCCTGTTATGCCCAATGTTCTTGGGCTGGTTTGTACAGCACTTGAGTGATGGACCGTGCTATATGTGTTGTTGTTGTTGTCAAGCATGTATGAGCTATGCCAGAAGAGTTTTCATGAGTCATTTAGGCTTTTTATATAAAAAGAACTCATTTCTTCAACTCCTCCCACTTCAAAATTAGCAATGCTTGAGCAATTCATGCTGAGCTTAGGGGGTGCAGGTAACTTCTTTGCAGTTGCTATGGTTTGCTTTAAGCAAAAGCTATGTTTAAAGAAACAGAAAAGCAGTACTAATAAAGACTTCTAATAGCAAGAGTAGAGCCTAAAAAATCTGAATTATAATAATGATGAAATAGCTATTTATTGGGGTAGTTGAATGCAAAGTAGGATTAACAGTGGGTATTACCATTAGTAAGATCAGTTGAAGATCAGTTTTCAAATTGTTTTAACATAAGGCTGGAGTTCCTTATCTTGTAGCTTAGTTAATTTGGTAGATGCAGAATGCACTGTTAAAATAAGGGTACTTCAAATATGTAGCACCATTAAGAAGTTAATTTTTCTCCTTTTCATTTTAGGGTTATCAAAGCAGACTTCTACAATGCTGCTAGACAAAATACATTTTTTTTTCCCTTTTTGTACACTCTTCAGATCTTTTTGTCAGGTTCTGTATTTATAACAAGAATAGTACTGCATTCAAAAATTCTTGCGTGTATAATAAAAACATGAAAGGTTCCTGTGTGGAAGATTTTAAAGAAACAATTTTTTGTGGAGGAGAATGTTCCCCCCCGCCCCCTGAATTTCAGTGTATATAATACTGCCCTTATGCAGTGCATACTTAAGATGATATTGTGTAATCACTTTGTTTTAATATTTTTGTGACTGAAATGTTGATTACTGAGAGTGTGTTAGCTATGTAATTTCTGGTTCTACAACTGTGGATCAGGTCTGCTTCAACCCTCTGATTTATGTTGCTGAACAGACTGGAAGTCAGGTGATGTTGTGTCTTCCCTTCATCTCTAATCCAGCTGTCACTGTCACTTTCTGCAGCAGCTATCTGGCAAGGGAAGCTTATCATCTTGCAGCTCTTGTGGAGGCAGGATTCACACACTGGTGTACCACACAGTCGAGTTCACTGGCAAAGCTCCTGGTCACTGGATGCCATGAGAGTTTGGAAGAACATAGAGCTGCTTGGCCAGTTAGCAAATGGCTCAGTTTCTCACACAAACGAAAAGCTGTAACTTTGTGTGCCATGGAATACATTCTGGGAGTTTGCAGCCCTTAGGGGGTTCTATTTTCTTTATTATAGGAGTGTTGGTGTTTGTGATATGTGGTACTGTGTCGGCCCAAG